TGAAAGAGAATGGAAATAATCTGGAGAAAGAATAAAACAGAGATAATAAATGTTAAGTAATAATGGATAAGCAATAATTCATCAACACCTCTTCTTCATCTACAGCTCTTCAAGCACTTAATGTACAACCTTCCACCCAACCTCATATATCCTCCTCGTTATTAAAGTCTTCCTACCCTCACCTTAAATCGCGCATCAACAACCTGTGTCACCTCCATCAATGGCTCGCAAATAGTAGCGAACAGTGGATATTTCTTCTCAAATGCCGCTCTAATTCCATTTTCCCAAAATTTATCGAAAACTCTTGTAACCGCATTTCAATATCACCTCCGTATAATTAAAAATTATTAACTTCCACTCTTAAATTTAAAAAATCTCTGCTTAACTTAAAAATCTGCAAAACTATTGAAAATATTACTTTTCTCAATAAAAAAATTCCATTTTTCACCCAATTTTTAGAGCATAACATCAATCAAGAAGACGTCAATAATCTTTCCGTTTGCATCTCAAATATTTTCAATTCTGCTAAAGCACAGAAGAAACTAATACTAATTTCCAGATTCAAAAATCTGTACCAAGTTACTCTTAAAAATAAAGTTTATCCAGCAGGAAAAGAAGAATGGGTAGACAATATCTCATCCACAGACATCCCCTCCAAAGTTATTAATATTTTAAGTTTAGGACCTAATTTTTCCATACCTAACACCTCTGTCAAATTCATTCTACAACTTATCACTAACCTTGGAATATATTTACGCAAATGATCTTTTCAACTCTTCAAAAGAAAATAATGAGTTGTCACGCATTTCCATCTGTACCATTATTTCCAAATATCTTTTACACTCACCGTTCTCCTCTTCTTCTTTATCTTCTGAATTTTTAAAGACCTCTCATTTACCCAATCCTTCTTAAAATCCCATGACAATATAATCATAACCAGAGCTGATAAAGGCAACAAAACTGTAATTAAGGACCATACAGAATATACTGACAAAATGACTTTACTCCTATCAGACCGTTCCACTTACTCTCCCACATTCTGTGATCCCACCCCACCAATAAAAACCAAATTTAACCTACACCTAAAAAATCTTTTAAATTCTAAATTTATAAACTATCCTACTTACAGAAACCTGATCTTCAGTTGGCCTCTGTTTTTATGGACTTCCTAAAATCCACAAACCTGGCACCCCACTCCGTCCGATCACTTCCAATATTAATTCTCCTTCAGTTAAACTTAGCAAATTCTTACTTTACTACCTTCCTTAAAAATTCTCAGCCACAACAACCCTTATGATGTACATAATTCATTCCATCTCCGTGAACAGCTACTTTCCTTTACAATTCCAGTTAATTTCATTCATTGCTCCTTTGACGTTGAAAGTTTATTTACGAACATACCCTAGACAATGTACTTACTATAATAGACGACAATTGGCCTATCATTGAACTCCACACCTCACTTAACCGCTCCACATATTTTTAATGAAATTTTCTGGTTAGCAATGGGTAACCCCTTCATTCCCGACATCTCAAACATCGTTCTAACGACCTTCTAGACTCCATTACCCCTCTTTACCCAGACAATATCATCTTTATCCGAGAATACGTAGACGACCTCCTCCTACCTAATCATCAATCCAAATAAAATTTCCGATATCCTATCAGCCTTTAACTCTTACCACCCCCACCTCAACTTTACAGTACAACGCGAACTCATTAATTCTCTCTCTTTTCTCGACCTTCTTATCATTAAGAATCACAATAACACTATATCCACAGAGTGGTACACTAAACCAACTTACACAGGCGGACTTCTGAATTTTCATTCCAAACATCCTTAGTACCAAAAAATTGATGTTGCTAAAAATCTTATCTACCGTAGTCTCTCCCTCTCCGATCCTTAATTTAATTTAACCAATATCGAACATATAAAACAGATCCTATCAAACAATAATTTTTCTCTCCATGTCATTAACAAACTTATAAAAGACCACAATAATCACTCTTCCTTAATCTCGACCTCCAATATTTCTCCACAACCTATTCTGGCCTCCATATGCAGATCTCTACCTTATATTCCTAATCTTTCTGACAACATAAACAAAGTTTCACGATCTACTAATCCTAACTTACAACTTACATTCAAATCTCACAACACACTTTCTGAATTATACACATCCCTAAAAGATCCTGTTCCTCTCCCACAGCTTTCTCATATCGTTTATCGTATTCCGTGCTCTACCCCGGGTTATTTTTTATCCTATATTGATAAAACCAAAAATCTTCTAAAAGACCGCATCACCCAACATAAATATTCTGTATCCTTCCGTAATTTTACCGCCTCCAAATTATCCGAACATTCTCTCTCCCTAAACCAAACATTTGATTTCGACAAATCTTCCATCCTTAACCATGACAAACAACTCATTTCTGAAACCCTCCACATCCAACTCTAACCAAAGACAGTGAATCTAAAAACAGACAAACAAAACTTATCCTTAGCCTATTCCCAAATCCTGAATTTATTAAAACATCCATAACAATATCCTTTTCCTTTTCGCTGACAACTTCCTTAATTTTTTTTGTGTGTATATATATATGATATGATGATAGGGAGCGGGGTGGCTCAGTGGTAGGGCACTGAGCTTCCAATGCAAAGGTCCCGAGTTCGAACCCCGGCTCATGGCAGATAATTTATTTATCTGTTTCATTGGCCGTGGAGCGACCTTGGGTCAGGAGCCCCTCCTGGGGCACACCCAGCCTCTATAAAGTGGGTACCCATAATTAAATAATTGATTAAGGGGGAAAACCTGGCGGTTGAGCGTGATCTCGGTCAAATCACCTCCTTGCACAACCGTTGACCTAGAAACAGTGCTTTCCCTAAATAGTACTGAACCCCAGACCCTTCATGGGTTGTAGTGGTACAGGTTTTTTTTTATTTTTTTTTTTATATATATGATATATTTTAATTTCAAATATTCTCCATTATTACTTAATATTTATTATCTTTTATTATTATTATTATTTTTTATTATCTTCGTTTTATTCTTCCTCCAGATTATTTCCATCCTCTTTCAATTAAACTTTCATTTAATTATTCATATTTATGAGTAATATATATCTCGTCCATTATTTACGTTTCCGGTACTTTAGTTCAAACTTTGTCAGTCAACCGTCAGAGATGACGCAACAATACATCTCCCCCCTCCCTTGCTACCATATCTCCACTCTATTCCAGCAATCTCTTGGAACAGGTTGGTTTTCTAAATTATTTCAGTCTTCTCCTTTCATTCCTTTTCTCTGTTTTAACTCTTTATTCTATTATACGTTGTCAGTACATTTTGATAGATTTTAAAATATCTCAATTTTCTATCTAACTGTTCTATTTACAATATCTTAATTTTACTATTTATTTTTATTTCTTATATAGCTTCATATTTCTTTTATCTGTTTTACATTTTATTCTAAGATTACCATTTTAGTAGTTATGTCACCTTATTTTGATTATGTTCACTTCATTATGTCACACTTTGTAATGGTTATTATTATCATTTATTTTATTTATTTATTTATATGATATTTACAACTGTATACAAAAATGCATCTAGTAAATTCGCACCTGGATATAATGACATGAAACACATGTTGAGAAACTACCCATTGGTAGCACTCTAAGTATTTTTTAATTCTTGTTATTGTCATTTTTCTACCCACTTCATTTTACTTTATTTTTTTTACCTACATTGTTTATGTTTCTCATACCTTGTTATCTGGTTCTTTTCTAAGCTCTGATGAAGGCCTGAACTTCAGGTCGAAACATCGGCAAATGTTAAAATAAATATTATTAGTTATTTCTGCCTTTTTGTTTCTGACTGATCACCCCAACTAAGCTAAGTTTTGTATTTTAGAAATTAAATTAAATGAATTATTCACCTTTTTTTTTTTATCATCCTTCAACAATACTAAAGATATCCCATGGGTAGAAAAACTTCTTTATTTAAAAAGTTTAAAATCCATATTAATTAATTTCAGGTTTATTACAAAATTAGTTGAGAATCACCTTCAAGTTCGGTAAAAAAATGGGATGACTTGATACCTTGTCACCTAAAAGTACACATGTTTTCACCAAAAATGACTACAATAAATTATTGAAAAGCTTAAATATATATATTTTCCCATAACTTGGAATGTATTATAAAAACATAACTTCATAAATAAACATTTTATTAACAAAAAAAATTAAAAATAATATGTATTACCTAAAGTGATTATGAAACTAGTAAATCGGATTTTTACTTAGAATTCTATTATCTAAATTAATCTGTATTTCTAAGTGAACAACTAAATGTTTCTTATCCTAATATTTACATTTTCATGAAAATAATTCATCCAATTAGCAAGTTTCTTAATTTTAAACATAAATATTAGGATTGGAAACATTTAGTTGGTCGGTCACTTTTAAATATGAATTAATTTTTATAATACGGATCTTCATAAAAAACTAAGTTTCATTAACACTTTAGATGACAAATATTTCAAAAATCATTATTTAAATATATTTTTTAATACATCTACAGGTCATAGAAAAAGATAAATTAAAATTCGCAAATAATTTATTGTAGACCTTTTTGCAGAAAACATGGGTACTTTTAGGTGATAAGATATCAAATAATCACACTTTTTATACAACTTGAGAAATCCCAACTTAATTCATAGTAACCCTCAACTTAATTAATATGTACTTAAAGCATATTAAATAAGGAATGTTTTCTAAAAGTTCGGTATATACAGTATAGTTGGAGAGAGATAAAAAAATTGCAAATAATTCATAATTTTTTAAACAACAGAACAAAACAAATAATATACAATTAGGTTTCACAAGTTCAGAGTATAATTGTATTTAATTCATAATTTTATGAACAATAATGTAAATTAGAATTTAAAGAAATATTTTAGTTGTTAGCAACACCCAGAGAATATGAATATATAGAAATACGTTACCAATAATTTACCTTAGAGTCCAAGAAAAGATGACACTGAGCTGGTTTTTTGTCACGTCCTGCCCTTCCGATTTCCTGAACATAGCTTTCAAAAGAAAATGGCATATTATAGTGAATAATTCCTCTAATATCATTCTTATTAATTCCCATGCCAAAAGCTACAGTTGCAACAACAATCCGTAATTTACCTTAAAAGTTTAATTTAAAAAGCATTAATATCAATAATTAAATTTTTAGATAACACCATATAACTGATTACAGAAACTAGAGTGTTAGTCAAATGAATTGTTGGGTGATAAATAGTCAGGACACAGTCAGTTTTTAAGATGTCCTAATGACAGGTAACATGCACTAATGATGACTTACAAGCTTGGGTTGAAACGTTAGCAACAAAAATCTTAAAAACCAACTGTGTCCTGACTGTTTATCACTCATGATATGTAGAACAGTTGATTAACTTTCTTCAACAAATGAATTAATACTTAAGAATGCATACATTTTGTAATTTTTAAAATGAAAACATATTTTTTTAAAATCTTTCACTAGCTATTGACAATTGTTGAACATCCATAAGAAATTATCTGGGCATAAAATCATTTGATTGGATTCTATATAATGGCTTACCTGACATAAAGGCCGATTGGACTTGATTACGTCTTCCAGCAGTTAAGCCTGCATGATAGGCTTCCGCATGAATTGACAGCCTGCCTTTCTTATTAGGTGCCCCAGTATCCTAAAATAAAAATATTATCTTTACTAAATGAATTATATACACACTGAAACTACATTTTACAAGATATACAAAATTATTTCTTGGAAAATGGGAAATTTTTTACTTTAATTTAAAAAAAAAAAAGATTTCATATGTTTCACATAACATTTTCCCACAAAAGATGACAACACAAACCTAATAATAAGAATTCAGTCAATGATTGCACAAAAATGGAGTATAAAGTGAAATGGAAGGAACATAATTTTGACTTCTCAAGAAATTTCTTTATTTCATAAATATGGAATTTGAACTCCTAGATAATGATAAGCTTTCTAAAGTCCCGTCAATAAATGGTTATACAGAAATGGAAAAAATATAATTTTCGACTTTAAAACTTCATTTGATCCCCTAGACAGGAAGTAAACACAAAAATTCACCACCCCTTGGAGGTGAGGGAGGGGGAGTGCAGGGGAGAACCCAGGTCAATTTTATACAGAAACTATCCTAGCTATAAATACATTCTGTACAAAATAAAAAGTTTGGCGCTCGCAACATACAGCTTTCACTTACCTTTCTACTTTGAATGGAAATTATTTTCTGGCAATGTTAAGCAACTATAAAATTTTTGAAGTGCACTTTTAACAGAGCTATAGCTAAAGCTAACAAATCATTAACACCATTAAAATAACAGAAACCCTGTTAGCTGTATCAATGGTAGACAATAAAAACCTCGGTTCTTCATCTGTTTTTGTAAACCACATAACTCCAGTCTCTGAGAAATATATATATACGCCAAGAGAGATTTGAAAGTATATCTCTATATTCAAGCTATAAATGTTTATGGATTGTAGGCATATTAGTTATTAAACCGTTATTTTTTATTGTAAAAATTTACTACAAAGAAATTATGAGATTTTCATTGCCTGCCATAGACAGGTCAAAAGTGTTTACACTAATTTTAAGCTGATAGTGTTTAGATTTCACAAAGGGGAAATTCATCAAATTATTCACTAATTTAATTTTTTGAAAGTTTACATGACAATTTTTCGGAATGAACGGATTTTGATACCTAATTATTTAAATAAAATATCAGATTTAGAGTTATTAAACTACAGTAAATGTGTTTAAGGTCATAAACTTGTTTCTTTGGAACCCAATTCCCCTTAACTTCCCTCCTGTTACACCAAAAGAAATAAGCAATATTATTAAATTTCTGAAAACAAAAAAGACCTAGGTGATGATAATATACCTTCAATAGTCATTAAAAAGCGTACAAAAAAAGCAATATACCATCTAACAAAAATATTCAATACCATATTCCGCTTTTGACACTTCCCTACTGCCTGGAAAACAGCAAAAGTCATCCTGATATCCAAACCGAATAAAGATTTGACAGAAGTCGGAAATCATAGGCCAATTAGTTTGCTCAATATCCTATCAAAAATATTTTAAAGAGAATAAATAAATTCATATCCCTCAACAACATTGAAATTAATGAACAATTCGGATTCAGAACTCATCATTCCACTGTAACCCAGTTAGCTAGATTAACTGATTACATTACAGCAGGATTTAATGAAAAAAAAAAACATACTGGGATGATCTTGCTGGTTGTCGAAAAAGCATTTGATACAATGGACTACTATATAAACTTATGACCTATCAATTCCCACCTACTAAACAATAACAGAACATTAAAAAAGAACATTGGTTACAGAGAATTTCTGCATAAAAATGGACTCAGTTAAAATTGTTAATTTAAATTTTTTTTTTCTTAATCATAAATTTATTTTGATAATAACACACACAAATCAAGATAGAAATTAAATATTTTGAATGAGTCTAATTCGTATTACTTATAAATAATTTTAAGTAGCTTGTCACAGTTGATAAAATGGTTAAATGACAGAATTTGAAAATAACAGGTGTTGTGATTAGATTGATTATTTTTTGCTAAGGAAGGTTATAAGTTTGGAGAGTGTGATATAGACTAAAAGTGTTATTTTGATTATATTGTGAGAAATTTTGATCAGTATTTTTGGCTTAAGTTGTTCATATTCTAAATAAATTGGCTAATAATGGAGATGTTATCACTTATTTAATATCCCCTGAAGAAATAGTCAGTAAGCAAGAACTCAATCTCCCTCCACTGGGTAAGCCCTTCTTGATTATAATTTTAACATTAAGTTAACGTTTAAAAGGAACGTTACAAGATTAAGATCGATTTTTGATTGAAATTAAAATTTTATTTATATTAATAAATGAGGATTCTTTAATCGTGATTTACTCTTTATTTATTGAATTTATTTTTTATTTAATTATGTTTTCCTCAAATTTTTAATGGGTCGAATTTCGACCACTGGGCGAACAATGGTTATAATAAATGAGTATATTTATTTTTGCCGACGTTTCAGCCCAAAGTTCAGGCCTTCATCAGGACTGGTCAAAGAAAAGATTTGACTGATCACCCCAACCAATCTTCTCTTCAATTATTCACTACAGTCAACCATCAATCCACAAGAACTACATATATAGTTCGACGACGAACAGTTGACACAGGAATATATATATACGCACTGACAGGCAAAAAAATTCTTGTATTTGCTTATACTTATAAAAAATGCGTATACTTGTAAAAAAAATTGTATTTGTATATAATACATGGTATTTGTAGATAATACTTAGTATTTATAGAATTTTATAATCTTTTTTACCTTTAATAATCAAAATGTGATTGGGCAAGAAAGATTAGAGAAAAAAAAATTGAAAAACGAACCATTATTATTCTAAAAGAAATTAATTACATCATCATTTAGTAGCGCTTGTTTCCTCCTCTTGCCTTCACTACTTCTTGAAGACGCCTCAGCATACTTTCCACCAGTCGGGAAATGTCCCTTTGGTGGAGGATAGCCCATTCCTCCCGAAGAGCCCTTTCAAGGTCCTGCAGTGTAGCACGCACTCTTATTCGTCTTCCAAGGTTATCCCATAAATCCTCAATGGGGTTCAAATCTGGAGAACGTGCTGGACAGGCTAAAACCTCAATATTGTTCTGTTGAAGGAACGTCTGTACTATGCGGGCGACATGTGGGCATGCATTATTGTGCATTAGAATAGAACGATCGCCGATTTCGTTGAGAATAGGCAACACGTGAGGTTCCAAAATCTCATCTACACAGCGAATGGCCGTCAAAGACCCTCCACGAACAACAACAAATTCTGTGTGTAACCAATTCAAGATATATATATATATATTTCCCGACTGGTGGAAAGTATGCCGAGGCGTCGTGAAGGCAAGAGGAGGAAACACGCGCTACTAAATGATGATGTAATTAATTTCTTATATATATATATACACCCTCAAAACACAGGTATATATATGTATATGTATATGTATATATATATATATATATATATATATATATATATATATAGCATTTCCAAGTCAATTTAACCTTTTCCATTTCAAATTCACCTTTTTTTATTTATTTAATTATCTTTAATTTTTCGATGTGTGGGTCTGTTATCGTATGAGTAGTTTTGAAATAATCTCCTTTTTAAGATTACGTGACTGAGTTTCGAATTATTTAAGTTTTTTGAATTATTCGATATAAGGGTGTATTTTTATGTTTCCCGATCAGTAATTTTGAAAATGACATCCATTTATGTTGCGCCACTGTGTTTTGATTTATTTAAGTTTTTAGAATTTATCCAATATAAAGTCTACTTTATGTTTCTGGAGCGTAGATTCTGAAAACGACCTCCATTTTAAGATTAGGCCACCGCGTTTCGACTTATTTGAGTTTTTCGGATATTTTTCATATGAGGGTGTATTTTTATGTTTCCGGAGCTGTAGATTTTGAAAATGACCTCCATTTTAAGATTAGGCCACCGCGTTTCGACTTATTTGAGTTTTTCGGATATTTTTCATATGAGGGTGTATTTTTATGTTTCCGGAGCTGTAGATTTTGAAAATGACCTCCATTTTAAGATTACGCCACTGCGTTTCGACTTATTTAAGTTTTTCGAATTTATCCAATATTAAGGTCTACTTTTATGTTTCTTGAGCCGTAAATTTTGAAAATAACCTCCATTTCATGATTACGCCATTGCATTTTGACTTGTTTAAGTTTGCCGAATTTATCCAATTTAAAGGTCTACTTTTATGTTTTCGGAACTGTAGATTCTGAAAATCACCTCTATTTTAAGATTACGCCACTGCGTTTCAACTTCTTTAAGTTTTTAGAATTTAACAAGTATAAAGGTCTAATTTTATGTTTCTGGAGCAGTAGATTTCCCCCATTTTGTAAATGACCCAATTTCAAGTTTATGCCACTGTGTTTTGGATTATAAAAGTTTTTTTTTTTTTACTTTTTCGGTATAAGGATCTACTTATATGTTATCCGAGACGTATTGAAATTTTTCTAATCTTTAATATTTAATTTTATCTAATATTTAAGCTCCATTTTATGATTAAGCCGCTGCATCTCGAATAATTAGGCTTCATTTTGGATTTTTTCAATATGTTTTTTGTTGGATTGTTTCAAAGTTTCATCAATATGTTTTCGAGTATGGCAATAAAATAGAGGTCATTTTCAAAATCTACAGCTCCGGAAACATAAAAATACACCCTCATATGAAAAATATCCGAAAAACTCAAATAAGTCGAAACCCGGTGGCCTAATCTTAAAATGGAGGTCGTTATCAAAATCTACGGCTCCAGAAACATAAAAGTAGACCTTTATATTGGATAAATTCTAAAAACTTAAATAAATCAAAACACAGTGGCGTAAACATAAAATGGATGTCATTTTCAAAATTTACTGATCGGGAAACATAAAAATACACCCTTATATCGAATAAGTCAAAAAAACTTAAATGATTCGAAACGCAGTCACTTAATCTTACAATGGGGGTTATTTTCAAAACTAGGTACAGGACAGTATGATACTAGTCCCTAATAAATCCGAATAGGTACAATAAATCGATATCCGTAAGTGAAAATTCTACTTAGGAGAGGATAA